AAGATCTTAATTTAAGTGGGTGGCATAGTGAGATCTTCGAGGATCCTGAGCCCGTAATCATTGTCCTGCGACGGTGAAATCGGGCCGTATACGTTTGCGTATCCGTCGAAAGACGGCCGTTTTACGGCACAGGTTTCAGTGTTTATGGTGGGTGTGTTTCGCCATATACGTCACGGCGTGTTACGGCCGTAATACGGTCGCTACCAAACGGGTGAAACACGGTCCGTTTACGATCGTAATTTCAGCGTTTACGACTGTGTACGGTACCGTAAACGGTCGTTTTGGATCGTCGTAATCATCGTCCTGGGAAGATGAGGAAAAGCAAGTGAAAAGCGAACGCTTTTTCTGATACGTCATTTTCTATAGTTAAAATGGTCACATGACTATAAATGTGTTTATTTACGACCAACCGACATTGACTTTGGAAAGAAATTAAAAAAAAACGATCTACACACGCTTTGATGTTTTGCATACCAGTTAAAGGAAGAAAAAAGGAATGATGCAAGTTGTGTCTAGAGAGGCCTTCATATTTTTTCGTTCTACCACACACACACGCACTTTTTCTCTACTATCAAGAGTTATGAAATTACACAAACGATAGCAGAGTATTTCAAACGCACACGTGTCACAAGAAACAATACCAACGTCTAACCGAATGAATTTCTCACTGCACACGATACCTGTCGAGTTAGTGTATCGAATTTTGGACTATTTAGATAATTTAACGATTTTCTTATCGTGCAGAAATGTCTGCACAAGACTCAATGCCATTATGGATATGAACCATCGATATCAGGTAATATTTGTTATTATTGCGTAGAGTCATATATAAGTCATCTTTGAAGCATAATGTTTTTTCAGAAATACATTATTTTCATTGATTTTTCTCTATTGCAAAAAAATAATTTTCAAAACTTGAAGCAATATTTAGTTGATGGCAGCAGTTTTATCTCTGATTTTGACGATCATTTATTAATTTTAAACACTCTCTTGTCTATGAAAATACACGGAACACTACGCTAATAGCGCTAACACTGCCAATACGAGCACTATCATAGTTAATATAAATAACAATCATGTAATCTTTACCTACCCAATCTGAACGATTCTATCTCATGAGTACAGATTATCAGGCTTGTTGCAATCCTAGAGATTTTAATGGCGCAATAAAAGAGAGAATCATACTAATATTCCTCAGTTTTCACCTATTCATGACGAAGAGAGAACAGGATGTAAACAAATTTCAAAACAACCATCTGATTTTAACTAGTTCGATCTAGTCTTCGTTACACTCGGCTGCTCTTCTAACAACAACATGTTACGTGGAAGAAGTATTCAGCCATTCACTAGCTAATTTCAAATAATGTTCATTTTATCGAGAAAATATCCAAACAAAGAGTCGTTTATTAACACTGTTCAAGTATCTCATACTATTGAATCCACAACAAGTAACTAAATTACACTATTACCGATGGAACAAGCATCGACTCGATCTACATCCATAGAGCAGCATATTAATGCTTATATTCAAGATCTCGAAAGTATAAAAATTCATTGATATCGTACGCACTTAAAATTAGTAACAATTTATTCTGACAGATTTGTGTTAGTGGACAGAAACACATGTGTTCGCCATTTACCCCGTAGCAAGTTTTCCTTGCTTATTTTCATAGAATGATAAACTTTTATAGCACATTTCTTTATTATTTTCGCTTTCATCTTGTTTTATCATAGGAATTCGATACACTTTACCTTGGAGGCAACCAAATTGATACACAAAGAGCAAAACTTCTCGCCACTGCTCTACTACAAAATACAGTAAAATTTCATCTTTTTAATCTAACAATCGCTGATTTTTTCCCATAGACACTAACTACACTCTACCTTCAATATAATCAAATTAATTCACAAGGAGCCAAGTATCTAAGCAATGCTCTACTTCATAACAAAGTAACATTTATTACATTGCTTCTTTTCTCTTTTCGCCCTAATAATCACTTATTTTGTCATACAGACACTCCTCACACTTCAACTCCAATATAATCAAATTGGTCTGCAAGGAGCAAGTCATCTAGGCAATGCTTTACAACAAAACACAGTAACATTCCTTCTCTTTGTATCTGTTCTCATTCTACGATTTACTCATTATTTTGCACAGGCACTTACTACCTTTAACCTTTCGTACAATCAAATTGTTGATGAAGGAGCCGAGCATCTGGCCAATGCTCTAATTCAAAACAAAGTACTGTGCCACTTTTTCTATTCTTCTCTCACTTTATCACTAATCATTCTTTCAAACAGACTCTCACTACGCTTGACCTCAGAGTCAATCAAATTACTTCACGAGGAGCACAATATCTCGCTAATGGTCTATCGCAAAACAAAGTAGTCTTGCATTTTCTTCGTTCCATTTTTATTGTATTGCTCCTTCATTAATTTATATAGATACTTCTCACCCTTCATCTTTCATGGAACAATATTGGTGATCAAGGGGCTGAATATCTAAGTAATGCTCTCTTAGACAACAAAGTAACATTCTATTTTCATCTTTCTTCTCTTGCTCATTATTTCATACAGGCACTTCTCACACTTGGTCTCGAAGGCATTCAACTTGGTGATCAAGGTGCTGAACATTTAGGCAATGCTTTACTTCGAAACAAAGTAACATTCGTTTTGCCTTTACAACTTATTCCTATTTTCACATAGACACTCACTACTCTTCGTCTAAGAGATAATCGAATCAGTACTCAAGGAGCAAAACATCTAGGCAACGCTGTATTAGACAATAAAGTAACATAGCATTTCCTTCTGCTTTCTCCTCGTTCTATGAGTTATTCATTATTTTACACAGACATTCACCACACTTGACCTCGCCTACAATCAAATTGATGACAATGGAAAACGATATGTCAAAGATATATTCAAAATGAATCCGCAAATAAAAGTAAGCTTGTAATTCGTACGAAGAGAAACAATGACTGCTAACAAGGACACTGATTATCCATTGATATAAAAGCTTTTACTATACATTAACTAAATATAGGCTGTATTCATGAACATTCACACTTTGAATCTCATAAATAAAGATCAAATTGAGCGCTC